TACATGAAATTTGGATCTGCACATCTCTCTCGGGCAAGAACCCATGAAGCAACACTATTTAACCTCCTCAGCTACCTCCCCTCAGGATATTTTAAATGTGACTGATGAAGTTCATAGGGGCCATGTTCTTGATAGGTTGTAAGCAACTGCACACAGCAGCCTCCCATTTCCTCCCTGAGTGAATGAATAGCCCTTATTTTAGATTTTAGTTTTCTTAGGTCAAGGGCTTACCTTAAATCTGCTTCCATCATCTTGAATGAAGTAGTAATCCACCGCACTGACTAAGCGTTTGTCTTCATCTAAAATCTCAGTCTGTAGGAGAACCATGGAACATAAGCACATCATCTTCTACATAGCTCAAGAGCTCTTTCAGGGCCACTCTTTGAGAAACGCATAACTCTAAAGACAAAATCCTTGCACTTAGTCCTTTATTTTGCCCCTATACAAACACCACCAGCCTCATTCATAAAACGGCATTATAATGGTTCCCCAGTGGGGATTTTTCTGAATTTCTCTTTAATAAAAATTCTTGAAAGCTTTCTGCTGATGGCCAATATAGCTTTCACCTTGGTCTTACCATAGTGGTCATTTTGTGGCCTCCATGTTAAACAGGAAAGAAAAAACACTTTCAATAAGTAGATTTCTCAGACAATGGCTTTCTTCTTCCCTATCACTAATCCATTAGACAAGATTGATGATTATAGGAACAGGTACAGCCACCCAGTAGAAGCAAAGACTGAATAGTATTCATTCAGATACTTACAGGGTGCATGTTGATGAGCCATCCCGTCCTTTCTCCAGGTTCTTTCAGCCTCTCAAAACCAAACCTAAAGTCCATCTTATCTGTCCACTGGCTCCGTTCCAGACGCTTAAGTGCTGAGACTGAGGAAGAGGAACCATCATCCCTGAGTAAAAGAAGAGAATCAGGTTTACGATTCACAACATTTCCCACTCTAGATCCCTATCTTTCATCTATGTGTTTTGTTGTTGTTTTGATTAGGAGGCAGGGTCTCATTACATAGACCAGGCTGACTTCAACCTATAGCAATTCACTCTCTTGTTTTTCAAGTGCTGGGATTAAAAACATGTGCCACAATACTTGATGTCTCTGTGTTTCTGATATGGCATGGCATACGTGTCCCTGAAAAAACATCAAGGCTGGCAGAAGGCTCAGTGAAAATAAATAAACACCCAAAACCAGCATTTATAGGAAAAATACAACTAAGGTAAGCCCTAACCCCAACCTATTTGACTTTATTACCAGGACACTAACAAAAAAACAGCAGGCACACCAGGATGCTTCTTCTTCTTAGGATATTAAAACTGCACAAAGCTCAGAATTGCAAGGCTAAGCTCTATGTAAGAGAAATGAAATTTCATTTCACAAATTTGTATGCAATTATCACAGCACCATTATTTATAAAATCTAAACCTGCAAACAATTCAGATATTCTTCACCAAGAATAATTTTAGTTTATCCATATATGAATACTCAGCAATAAATTGATAAACACAACTTGGATAGATCACCAGAGAATTAAACCAATGATCCCAAACTACACATCTCACTGTGCCATTTTACACAGCATTTAAAAAATAAAATTATAGAGATGGAGAACAGATCACCAGTTGACAGACACGGGAGAGGGAGAAGGAATGGCCTTGGTCATGAAAACCAGCATCTAAATCCTTGTGACACGCATTCTGTGTCTTGAACGTGGTGATAAAGTCATGAACATATATGTGATGAAACAATACAGAACTAAACATGTGTAAAAGTGCAGTTGGTGCAATCTAACTGATGACAATTGGCTGCTGTGATACCGAGCGTTCACTCTGGTTATACGTTATCACTAGGTCAGTAAGGATCTTCAACATTTCTGACAAGTACGTGAAAATCAACAATTATTTCAACACTCCATGCTTGCCCTCCTCTCCCCTCCTCCTCCTCCTCCTCCTCCTCCTCCTCCTCCTCCTCCTCCTCTTCTTCTTCTTCTTCTTCTTCTTCTTCTTCTTCCTCTCTCTCTCTCTCAAAAAAAACCCTTATAATCTTCTTGCCCTTGCTTCCAAAGTGTGGAACTACAGGTATGCACTACTACATCTTGCTTGGATTTACCTCTAATTAAAACCATAAACTATTTCTGACTTTGCTAGAAAAAAATAGTTTTAGTCTGTACCTAGATATTCTTCAAAACCAGGGCAGAATGAAGTGTTACTTCTAAGGAGCACAAAACTCTCTGCCCTTTAAATACCACCCTGATGGTAAAGTAGACTAGAAAATTGTTCATCCAGAACTCATCTCCTCCCAATATGCTTTCCTCTAAACTGTCTACCTTACGTTTTATTCAGCAATAGTACAAAAATAGAAAAACAAAGATGAACATAACAAAGACAATGGCTTACATATTACTACTACACACAGTGTCAAAGCACTCTGAGGATACATCTCAGTTCACTTTCATAACAGCATCTCTGAAGAGTACCACACATTTCCTTACTCAATGAAAAAAAGAGACAGTTATATTTAAAGCTCACACTCTTTACCGTTGCCTACAGCCCCAATGAGACAAGCTTTTCTTCACAGGACTGCTGCAAGGATTAATTGAGCTAATCCACATAAAGTATACAGGATATATAGTATAAGTATAAATTAAAAGTTGTTACTTGCCACCATATCCAGAAGTACATAGGCAGTGCAGACTGGGTTATTAAAAAAAGGGGTGGGGGGAATCTTGCCAGGCCGTGGTGGTACACACCTTTAATCCCAATGCTTGGGAGGCAAAGGCAGGAAGACCTCTGTGAGTTTGGGGCCAGCCTGGTCTACAGAGTGAGTTCTAGGACAGCCAGGGCTACACAGAGAATCCCTGTTTTGAAAAGCAAAATAACAAAAAAACATGGTCTTGAAGTTGGAGAGGGATATATCCGGGAGGAATTAGGGAGCTGGGTGTGTGTGAATATAAACAAAAGTCTCTAAATGCTATTTTATTATTATTATTTTGATTTTTCGAGACAGGGTTTCTCTGTGTAGCCTTGGCTGTCCTGGAAATTGCTCTGTAGACCAGGCTGGCCTTGAACTCACAGAGGTTTGCCCCCCTCTGCCTCCTCAGTATTGGGATTAGAGGAGTGTGCCACTACTGCCTGCCTATTATTATTTTTAATAACAGCTTTCCATGTGGTCTAGGGACATCAAGTACTTGGCAAAGTTGAATGATTAAGGGCATGTCCTTGGTGGTGATATAGCTTGGTAGTATAGTCTGTCTTTTCACGTGAGGTTGCATTCCATTTCTAGCTTAAAAAACAAACAAACAAATACCAGCAGTGAATGCCTTTAATCTCAGAACTCAGGAGGCACAAGCAGGAGGGTCTCTTTGTTCAAGGCCAGACTGGTCTACTGAACTAGTTCCAGTACAGCCAGGACTACACAGAGAAACCCGTCTCAAAAAACATTAAAAAAAGAGAAGAAACCACAAGCAGTTGTGACAGTAGGTAGGTGAGTTACGTCATATCTCTCACTCCCAAACTGATGTACCGCATGAATAGAACAGTCTAAGAGCACTGCCCACCTCATGTGCCTTTTCACGGCATTCTGGACACGAAGCAGCCAGCACAGGAGCTATCATTAATGTTGAGGGTTAGAGTGAGGCTCTACCTGAGGCCCTGATGTATGGAAAAGGAACATAGCTGCTTTTGTAAGCCAGGGGTGAGCTTGGTAGAGCAAGTAATAGCCTGTGACTGCAGATCCTGAGAAGCCAACTCTTCCCACCGAAAGGGTCTAAGGTCGTCAATTCAAGGCTGCTCTGTGCTCTGTGACACTGTCCTATTCCCCTACCCACAAACCTGTAAATTAGATGCTGTACTTTTTTTTTTTGAAACAGGATTTCTCTGTGTGGCTTTGGCTGTCCTGGAACTCGTCTGTTTCTAGGGCTGGGATTAAATGTATGCATGTACCACTACTGCCTGGCTGATGTTGTACTTAATAAACTTGCTCACATGAGCCATCAGATTGCAGGAGACGTCCTGATCTTGAACTTTCTTATCTTCTCATCCCCTGGTCATCACTTACTTGGGAACCTGTTACTAAACTACCTGCTGGTCCAGATCAATTACCATAGCTGTCATGGAGATGTACATCAAACCCAAGGCTTCACACATATGCTAGGAAAACACTCTAACACCACTCAGTTTTGGGAAGGGTTTCTGCTTAACTAGGGCTCCCATTCTGATGTTTCAGAATCGTCTCACAGCAAACCCAACTGTTTCTGCCACTAGGCAGTGTTACCAATCTCAACATAAGATATACATATCTGGTTTGTTTTGTTTTTGTCCCCGTACTCTAATCTCCTGCTGATGCATGAGTGTTGGGACTTTTGGTGGTGCAGGTGCCCATGAGTAACTGAGGTTTCTCTGAGAATCCCAATAAACAGTGATTTACTTCGCTAAGCTGGACAAGACAGAATCTTCTTTTTGGTTCCCTGTTCCCTCCTTGTTTGATGAAAACAGACGTTCTCCTATAGTAAAGTCACATAACAGGCACAAATACGTCTAGAGATGCAGCCTAGGCTACGGAGTGAGTTGGCATCTCGATAACGCTACAGAAACACACAAGGTGAAGGCGGGAGCCCGCCCTGCCCGCCCAGGCTGGCCGCGCGCCCACCCCGCCGCTCTACCCGACACGGCACCCGCTCAAGCTGGCTCCCTTCGCGGCAAGACGCCGGCTCTCACCGGCTGCCTTCGCTGTCCGCGCCAGGTTCGGCGTGCCGACGTCCGCTGTTCCTGAGGACCATTGCGCTGCTCACAAGTTTCCTCACACTCCCGGGAAAATTTGGCGCGCTCTCACCTACTCTCGCGAGATCAAAGCTCCGGCCAATGAGAAGGCAGGGCTCTTAGGCGTCGGGCAGACGTGGCACAGGACCCGCCCCACCCCCGCCCCGCCCAGCCCTCGGCTCTCCAATGGGCTCCAGAGCACGGAGGGTGGGCCACAGGGACCGGGGGAAAATATGTGGCGGCGGGCGGCGCGCGCGGCGAGGTCGGCCGGGCGCGCTGGGGGCCGCGGGAGATTAGGAAATGTCAGGTCGTCCCTGCCTTGTGCCCTGTGCCCGGTGCCCTGGGCCGGTTGCCTGATGGCCCGCTGTTCGGTGAGCGCCGGGGCTTACTTAGAGCTGGGACGGCGATGGCACCAGCTGCGTCAAGACTGCGAGCGGAATCCGAATTCGGGTCGCTTCCGCGGCGGGCGCTCGCCCAATACTTGCTGCTCCTAAAGCTGTATCCGGTGTTTACCAAAGCCGTCAGCAGGTGGGTTCACACGGGGAGGAGGAGTGGGAAGGACGGGCGCCGGTAGGGAGGGACTCACGCAGGGCAGGGTAAAGGAAAGGGCGCCGGCAGATCAGGCTGCGCAATTACAGCCTGTGAGGCAGTGGTTTTCAACCTGTGGGCCGTGACCCCTTGGGGGGGGTGTCCAATGACCCTTTCACAGGGGTCGTATATCAGTTATTTACTTTACTATTCATAACAGTAGCAAAATTACAGTTACGAAGTAGCAATGAAAATAGTGTTATGGTTTGGGGTCACCACATGAGGAACTGTATTAAAGTTGTCCCAGCGTGAGGAAGACTGAGAGCCAGGAGCAATGTGAGTTACAAAGTCCTGCGTCAAGGTGCGCCCAAAATTCTGCTTAGCCAGGAAATGCTGTTTGTGTGTTGGGTCCCAAGCAGTAAGTAGCCCTTGCAGTTTGAATCTTATGAATACCAGGGAGCCAGGGACAACCATTCCAACCCTGAGTGCTAAGCACTGTTGCTGGTGAGCTCTGCCCTTTGCCCTTTGATCTACATCGTTCGATTTCTTAACTATTCCGGTTTCTGTTAATTTTTGTTAGCGAATTTTATGTTTGTCCTTATTTAACTGAGACTTTGATAGTATGTACAGAGTTCTTCCTGTGTGCTGGACATATTGCTGTGGTTAAAATAGATATGTGGGCCTTTTCTCTCAGGGAGTGAAGAACTAGACAACAACAACAACAACAACGAAAAAGGCAGGTGATAAATACGTAACCTAGAGCAGTTGGGGAAGTTTTCTTGTGTTGTTGACATTGATCAGAAGCACACAGAAGAGAAGCAGGAGTTCACAGTGCAGAAGTTCTGAGGCAGGAGCTCAGTGCATGTTGGAGGGGGGTCATGAGGACTGTGCAGGTGGAGACAATGAAAAGGAGGCGTGGATGGGAAGAGGTAACCAAGGGTTAGGTCAAAGGGGTCCTTATGAACCACACTAAAAATTTGGGATTTTATAGTTTTTAGAAGACAGCTTATAGATTTGTGATAGTTAATGGCAATTGTCAACTTGATAAAAATTAGAATCACCTGGGAGATGGGCCTTTAGGCATGCCAGCAAGGGATTGTTTTGATTACCTTAATTGAGGTGGGAAGATCTGCCCACTATGGGTGGCACCTTGGGATCCTTGACTTGAAGCTCGCTGAGCAGCATACCTTGTCTATGGCTCTGTCTCTCTCTCTCTCTCATAGTGATATTTCATTTGTGTTTTAATAACTAAAGCTTGCCTGGAGATCAGAGAGTAAAACAGCCTCACTGGACAGCCTCATAGACCAGGCAGTGGTAACACACACCTTTAATCCCAGTAGCCACACTCGTTAGCCATAGAAATTGGGTGGTCGTGGTGCAGGCCTTTAATCCCAGCACTAGCGAGGAATATAAGACAGCTCTCAGACACAGTCTCATTCTGAGGATTCCTGGAAGCAGACCACCATTTTGGACTAGGGTAGAGGTAAGATCCAGTGCCTGGCTGTTTTGCTTTTCTGAACTTCAGGTTGAACCCCAATATCTGTCTCTGGTTTTTTATTAGATATGATACATTCTTTCTCCTTGGTTTTTTGAGATAAGACTTCTCTGTGTAGCCCTGGCTGTCTTGGAACTCCCCTGTAGACCAGGCTGGCCTAGAACTCACAGAGATTTGCCTGTCTCTGCTTCGTGGGTGCTGAGATTAAGGGGTTAAAGGTGTGCACCACTACACCCGGCTCATTCTTTCTGTTCTTGATTTTGGGTGTGCTGTGACCAGTGCTTCAACCTCCTGCTGCCTTAACTTTGCTGCCACCATGGCCTGTACCCTAGAACTGTGGAACTAAAATAAACATTGCTCTTTTAAGTTGCTTTTGACAGGTATTGTCACAGCCATATGAAAAGAAACTAAGACAAGATTCAACTTTAAGAAGCAACTGACCCTGTCTTTTTACCAGAAATTTTACTTTAGGAGTGTAAATTTATACAGAAATACTACAGAAGTGTTACAGCTCTTTTAGAATTTGTTTAGCAGGTTTTCTGACTTGTTTTGCAAGTCAAAAGAAAAATAAAGAAAAAGAAAAATCCCTGATGACTTCTGCCCCATTTCAAACGTTTTTAAAAACTGCATACAGATATCAGCCCATCCAGATGTGTATAGCCCACGGACCACAGTCAACTACAGAAATGTTCTCATGCGAATCCTTAGTCTTGCCCTTTCCACCCATGCCTTCAATGGAGCAGCAGTGGGAATGTTGGAAGGCATGCAGTCCAACAGGTGGAGCCCTCACTATGCTCACTTGTGTTTCTGGTTTTAGGTTGTACTATAGAGACCATTAGGGGCTTTACCTGCAAGCTGCTTTAGTAAGGACTCATCCCATGATCCATAGCAAGGTCTTACAGCAGCTGTGTTGTTGCCATGCATGCCTTTGGGTCTGTTACTCATTTCTGATTGCCTCTTCCTCCACAGTGGCATTTTGTCAGCCCTTGGGAACCTTCTGGCCCAGATGATTGAGAAGAAACAGAAAAAAGACTCTCAAAGTCTAGATGTCAGAGGGCTTCTCCGATATTTAGTTTATGGGTAAGTGCCACCAAGAGCTGGCTCACCTCTGCAGACTGAACACAACAAAGCTGGCTGCCAGCATCAATCAAGGCTTTGGAATACTTTGGTTTGAAAACCTAATTCTGGGGTTGGAGAGATGGCTCAGCTGTGAAGAGCACTGACTGCTCTTGTAGAAAGCCCAGGTTTGATTCCCAGCTCCCATACAGCAGTTCACAACTATCTTTAACTGCAGTTCCAAGGGATCTGATGACCTCTTCTGACGTCATAAAGCACCAGACACATATATGGCGCACAGACATACCTATAAGCAAAACATCCATGCACAGAAACTAGAAAATAAAATTAAAAAACCAAAAGAGAAACTTATTCTTTAAGAAACATCAGAGAGCCGGGCGTAGTGGCGTACTCCTTTAATTCCAGCATTTGAGAGGCAGAGACAGGTGGGTTTCTGTGAGTTTGAGACTAGCCTGGTCCACATAGTGAGTTCTAGGACAGCCAGAGCTACATAGTGAGACCTTGTCTCAAACAAAACAACAAAACAAAACAGAACAAAAAAGCATCAGAGACTGGATGTAACGACATAGGCTTGTAGCTCTAGCCCTTTGGAGGCTGAGGCAGTGTGGGATTGCCACAAGTTCCAGACCTGGTCTTCCTGTGTCGGGAGATCTGCCTTTAAAACATAATCCACCTTGAGCTCTTTGGCCAGCACTAATAAGAAAGATGTCTAGATGATTCGAAAGTCTTTTCAGTTAGAATGATTAAAAACAAAAAACCTTTTGTGTGTGTGTGTGTGTGTGGTGTTATGATTAAACTCATAACTTCGTGTATATTTCCACTTAGACATCACTTATTGTCATCATTTGGCTGGATGTGATAGTACCTGTCTTTGATCCCAGTACCTGAGAGGCCAACCTTATCTATGTAGTGAGTTTCAGGTCAGACAAAGCTACAGTGAGACATTGTCTCAAGAAGTAAATAAATAAATTTAAAATAAATAATCAGAAACACTATTTGTCTGTGTGTGTAAGTGTGTGTGTAAGAAGGGCATACTGAGATGGTCTCATAATATCCCTTGAACCATTTGCCTCTGTCTCCTGAATGCTGGGATTATAGGTGTGTATCACCATACCTAGTTTTTGTTTGTTGTAGTGTTGTGAATTAACCCAAGGTTTCTTGGCATGCTTGGGAAGTACTCTACTAACTGAGACTCAGTCTTAATCTCATAAAAGCTTCCAAGAATAATAATTTGAGTCATTTACTATAATGTTTATAAAGCCATGTCTCCCATACTTTGTCAAGTAACAAGATCAGCTAAGGCATTTAACCCTCTCACTAGGTATTAGTCTGCCAAAGACTTCAGTTGTTGGCCCTACTGTAGCCCACAGTGGTACAGGAAAGTCCAATTGAAAGCCTTCTTTACAGACTTTGGTTGTTGGAATTGAAAGACCCTGGTTCCTGCCCCTCTGTATTATTGTGCTTTGTGAAACTCACTTCTGGTCACTTCTTGGCTCACAGTTGGCCAGGCTGGGTTATGTCTGTTTACTTCTTAGAGCCTGTTAGGCCTGTGGGCACAGATGTGGATAGATAACATAATGGCCTGGAATATAGAGGAGTCAGCTGAACATATATCTTAGCCAGGACCATCATCATGACTGCCAGCCGACCAAGTACAGGAACTGACAAAGTAACTTCAGTGTTTTCAGGCAGAAAGATAGCCTGAAACTGATTGAAAGAGGTCTATACAAATTTGTGTGGTCAGTAAATACTTTGGGGGAAGAAAAGAGAGCTTAGGATCTGAGGTGAATCTTGGTGTGAGGCTGAACCAAAGAAGGAAATGTAGAAAGAACTGCATTCCTGCTCAAACCCCTGTGGTACTCCAGATTCTTTGTCACAGGTCCACTGAGTCACTATTTCTACCTCTTCATGGAGTACTGGATCCCTCCTGAGGTTCCCTTGGCCATTGTCAAGAGGCTCCTTCTGGATCGCCTGCTCTTTGCACCAGCTTTTCTGCTGCTGTTCTTCCTCATCATTAACTTGTTGGAGGTGGGTGTTTCTTCTGGCACTTGCTGTATCTCCAGTTAACAGATTTATCGGTAGCCCCCTTCCTAGGGTGGGCCTCAAGGTCTGAACTTGGATTGCTCTTCCTTCCTTCCTTCCTTCCTTCCTTCCTTCCTTCCTTCCTTGTTATTTTAGAATTTCATACATGAATCTAATGTGTTTTAATCAAAACCACCCCTGTTCCCACACTACTTTTCTTTCCCAACTTTATGTGTTCTTTTTTTTTTTTTTTGAGATATCTGTGTAACAGTCCTAGCTGTCCTGGAACTAGCTCTTGTAGACCAGGCTGGCCTTGAACTCACAGAGATCTGCCTGCCTCTACCTCTCAAGTTCTGGGACTAAATGCATGTGCCACCACCACCTGACTTCACGTGTTCTTTTTAAAAACTACTGTATTTACTTAGTACTGCCTGTATGTGCATGGATATAGACCTCGCAGGGACTGCATCTCTGAAAAGAAACCAAAAATTAAAAGCCAAAAAAACTCAACTGACTTTCCCTTCCCAGCAGCCATTAATTTCCAGTAACTCCAAACTGTGATTTCCTGGCTTGATTGTGTTTGTGTCTTATACATGCTGCCAAAGCTTCTTTGTGTTGATGTGTACAATAGCATTGTCATGTTTCCCTGGTTTCTCTGAGTGCATGTGTATGGGCATGTATGTACTAAAGGACGTGTGTAGAGATCAGAAGAGTTGGTTCTTTCCTTCCACTATGTGGGTCTTGGGTTACCTGCTGAGCCATCTCGCTATTCTTCAGCTTTCTATTTTCCCTTGTGAACCTAGGAAACAGATTACAGGAGTGTTAATATTGCCTGTCTGTTCCTAGTAGAAGTCATAAACTTCATAATCAACGTGACAGTTGTTACATATGGTCTTGTCACCACATCTGTTGTCAAAGAGGGATGTGTACTACTCTATCGTAGAATTGGTTTCCAAATATTTTGATAACTTTTATAGAGTTGTTTATGTTTTTGTTTTTACTTGTATATTTTCTATACTAATATGATTCTATACCAAGCTTAGTGGTTTATTATGCCTGTAATTGATATACTCAGGAGACTGAGAAAGGAAGATTGCTACAATTTCAAGGTCATCCTGGACTGCAAGGTGAGATCCTGTCTCCAAATACAAATAAATAAAAATATAAAAAGTAAACTAACACATGGCTTTACCAAATAGATCTGTGCTACAAAAATCTCAAGGTTGCCTGATTGTTGCAAAACCCTTCAAAAAGGGTTTGTAACTATCAGATGGAAAGTATTTTAATTTCTTTACCATTATTTATAGGGTCAAACACTTTATATACCATATGCTGTGTATTCCATGAACTTTGCTTTTTTTTTTTTCTCTTTTCTTTTTGGTTTTTCAAGACAGGGTTTTTGGAGCCTGTCCTAGAACTTGCTCTGTAGACCAGGTTGGCCTCAGAATGCAGAGATTCATCTGTCTCTGCCTTCTGAGTGCTGTGTGTGCACCACCACTGCCTGGCCAACGTTGCTTCTTTTATGGAAATCTTTCTTTCTTTCTTTCTTTCTTTCTTTCTTTCCTTCTTTCCTTCCCTCCCTCCCTCCCTCCCTCCCTCCCTCCCTTCCTTCCTTTTTATTTATTACATATACAGTGTTCTGCCTGTATGTTTACCTGCAGGCCGGAAAAGGGCACCAGATCTCATTACAGATGGATGTGAGCCAACATGTGACTGCTGGGAATTGAACTCAGGATCTCTGGAGGACTAGCCAGTGCTCTTAACCTCTGAGCCATCATCTTTCCAGCCCTGTGGAAGGGTACATTTTGAGACAGGGTTTCGTGTAGCCTAGGATGGCCTTGAACTTGCTATGTAGCCAAGGATGACCTCAGATTCTCAATCCTCCTGCCAATTCCCAAGTACTGAAATTACAGATGTACACCATCATGCCATTTTTTCTTATATTAACTTGTGTGTTTGGATATATTAAGGATAACAGTCCTTTTTCACGAATACAAATCACAAGTAAGTTTCCCATTTTTTAGGTGTTTCAAACTTTCATGTAAGTTAAAATGTCTATATAAAGGTAAAATGTAAACTTGTATAAATAAGTAAGTGTGTGTGTTTGTATTTCCACACAGAAAATTTAAAACTTCGTATTCGACTCTGGTACTCTTTCCCCTTTATAGTATAGATATTCTTAATACTTTCTAGTGGTTGTGTGTGTTTTTTTATTCAACTTTTTGATGTTTGTATTTTATGTGTATGAGTGTTTTGCCTGCATGCATGTCATATGCTTGCTTGGTGCCCATGAAAGCCAGAAGAGGACACTGGATCCCCTACAACTAGAGTTACACACAATTGTGAGCCTCCATGTGGGTGCTGGGAATCAAACCGGGGTTCTCTGGTAGAGAAGAGTGCTCTTAGCCTCTGACCTGGACCAGTAGGTTGTTCATAAGTAACAGGGTCGTAAGGGGGAGGATCAGGGAAGAGAAAATAAAGAAGATAGGAAAATTGGGGCCAGGAGTTCCTTCATAAGCAGATAGCTCACGCAAGCAAGTTTGTTAAGGAGTACCACAACTTATATACAGGTTTCGGGGGAAAATGAGACAGAGCGTCACAGACAGAGCACAAAACAGGCTTGGCACTAACAACCATAGCCCTTTAGATGGAAAGAATTAGTTTCTCAGGACCCAGAGCTGTAGCTCCCCCAAGGCCCTAGCCCCTGGCCCCAGGCCATTACTGGTTCTGTGATTTTAGAAAAAGAACTGTGTTCTTATACTTCAGGGCTTCAGGGAAAATCACCTGGCCTGGCTCTCAGCACTCTAGCCCATATTTGATACGTCTTGATAAGATACCAAGAAAAATAATCTATACTTTCCCTTCTATCTTTTGAGTTTTGTTTTTGTTTACAGGGAATAGACTTCTGTTTCCATTTTTTGCACTTACGTTGCATATTGTCTCCCACTTACTGAAATCTCCAGTATTTCAAAATAATTTCATACTTTTATACATTGAGTCCATTATTTAGACTTGGTTCTTTTCCTAGATTTTCACTTTCATTGCATGTTGTTTTGGTTTTTGTATTTTCATTTTGTTTAGTTTCTTACTATGGCTTACAGATTGTCTTAATTACCATAATGTTTTTTTTCAAGACAGGGTTTCTCTAGGTAGCCCTGACTGTCTTGGAACTCACTTTGTAGACCCAGCTGGTCTCAAACTCACAGAGATCTGCATGCCTCTGCCTCCTAAGTGCTGGGATTAAAGTGCGCCACCATTGCCATAATTTTACAGTATTTTAAAAAATAACTATGGGAAAGGCAGGTGCTTCTATTCTTTTCAATATGGTTACTCTTTTTTTTTTTTTTTTTTTTTTTTTTTTGGTTTTTCGAGACAGGGTTTCTCTGTGGCTTTGGAGCCTGTCCTGGAACTAGCTCTGTAGACCAGGCTGGTCTCGAACTCACAGAGATCCGCCTGCCTCTGCCTCCCGAGTGCTGGGATTAAAGGCGTGCGCCACCATCGCCCGGCTGTTCGTTTGTTTTTTGAAGACAGGGTTTCTCTGTGTAGTTCCTGGCTGTCTTAGAACTTGTTCTGTAGACCAGGCTGGCCTCAAACTCAGAACTCAGATCTGCCTGCATCTGCCTCCTGAGTGCTGGGATTAAAGGCCTGTGCTGCCACCACCCAGCCAATGTGGTTACTCTTAATACATTCATTCTTTCAGATAACATTTTGTGGGGGTCATCTTTTAAAAATTGACAGGTTTTGAGTGGAAATTAATCACCTTTGGCAGTTAATATGGAAAGCCTTGATAACCGAGCCCTCAGCCTGGTCCCAGCACCGGTCATCATCAGATTGCTATGAGGAGCTAACTGGGACAGACACCATGCAGTGCAAGAGATAGTTTGCCACTGAGGTGTAACTGAAGATTTTTCACCTAAATCCTTGACTTCTCTTAGCTGCAGGGTGGTGAATGCAGGTGTGTTTTATAATATAGACAGGCTTTACAAATCACTGTCGAGGTCAAGGTGCCACACACATTACACCTGCTATGGCTGGAGGAACCGCTTACAGTTTCCCTTATCTTCCTGGCAGGGGAAGGATGCCAGTGCCTTTGCCGCCAAGATGAGGAGTGGCTTCTGGCCTGCACTGCAAATGAACTGGAGGATGTGGACACCCTTGCAGTTCATTAACATCAACTATGTGCCCCTGCAGGTGAGGCCTGCCTTTTTCTAACAAGTGGTAGTACTCTCAAGCCATGTATTCCTCTGTTTCTGGAGTTCTGGTCCACTCCTGCTCAGTGTCCGTGAGCTCTGGATTCATCGCTGCAAAACTACACAGGGACTCCTGTGCAGCTGTTTCATCCCCATTGAGCAAATTCAAGTGTTTTCTAGTAACTGAAACAATCTGGGTTCACTGGACTCAGAGGGAGCAGGCAACTGTGAGGTAGAGCAGGTAAGTAGGAAGACCCTGGCATAAACAGGGTCTTCAAGGGGCTGGCTATTCATAGAGAAGGCCCCTTAGGGATAACTGAGAGAATTTCAGTGCTTGTGGGCACACAGGTGCTGCTGTGGATACTGCCTGCTGAAGGATGGGTGAACCTGACCACTGAGCAGTGGAGAGCACAGGAAAAGAGTAGTCAGGGGTTTCCAGAGTTTTTTTTTGTTTTGCTTTGTTATTTTGTTGCTTGTTTGTTTTGTTTCTTGAGACACGGTTTCTCTGTGTAGCCTTCTCTGTCCTGAAACTTGCTCTGTAGAACAGTCTGGCTTTGAACTTACAGAGATCTCCCTGCCTCTCTCAAGTGATGGGTTTAAAGGCATGCACCACCACTACCCAGCTGGTTCAGTGTTCCTCAGATGCTATCACTTGTGCACTGCTTCAGGTTGCTATAGACCACCTGTCCTGTGCCAGACTCATCCCCATGTTTTCCTAAGACTTCTCTGCAAATGGAAGGATTCACAGTCCCAGTAATTCTATACAGTGAGTGACAGGATTCTGCTGAATTCTAGGGGAGAAGGGCCCTCAGAGATGCAGACTTTTCTTTCCTCCAGGGCATTCTTCCTCTTGCTCTGGGTCTGGTTCTACCGTGATGGAAGAATTGGTACTAGGTACCTCTGCCAAGTTTCAAGCCCAGGAGCTAGGTCTGTGTACACTGAAGAAGGAAAAGATGGGGAACCTTATGACTTCCAAGTTGCCAACCATGGCCATCCTTCCAAACAGACCTCTCTTGGATAACCAGCCTTAGTTTATGCCAGAAACTTAACCCTCTTCTGTTCTCTGTTAAGCATATTTCCTACAGGGAGCTCACAAACTAGGGGCCACTGAAGAAGGAGGAACAGAGTAGGGTCAACAAAGGACTCCCATTGGGTAGAAGAAGGGGGAGGTTGTCCACTGTGCATACACATACACTGTATATACTACAAATATACATGCCATGTAGACCACACTCTACACAGACCACCACATTATGCACACATACACAGGGAAGGGAAGAGAGAATTAATGAATGAGAGAGCACACTATACACACAAGTCCATACGCACTACATACACATCATTCCATATATGGGCCTCACTTTATATCACACACATAAATAGAGCACCCACCCATGCTCACTTCATGTTTACATATGTATTACTTAACATGCACATATACCTACCACCCACATTTGCATATGTATACATATATCACACAGACCACAAAGTAGGAGAAAACCAGCAGACGTTTAGAATATAACAAAGGGCTGGTCAACCCTAGCAGAAATAGTGGGAAATTCAAAACAAAACAAAATAAAACGCCACAAGTATCTGGTTTATCATATTGGGATGGACAAGGAGCTAAAGGTAGATTGCTTTGGAGAATGAGTAGGAAGCACACAATTCAAGCTAGGCATGCTAGGGCCTGTAATCCTTCATTCTGAAAGCAAAGGCAGGAGGACCAGGAATTCCACATCAGCTCGGGAAGAGAGGGAGAACAAATCACAAGTCTGGAAAATGTTCCTGAGACATTTGAAGATGGAAAGAAATGGCCAGGAAGCCAGGAGTCTTGAGGCCAGAGAAAGTGTCAAGTTTATAAGACTATGTTATGTACATCCCTCTGGAATGGGTGGACATTCAGGTCCACAAAGAGAGTCTTCTGGAGCCACCTTAAGAGGTGGAAAAATGGGGTTCCCTTGGATGAGTGCAGAGTAGTGCTTATGTGGAAGCTCTTTCTCTGTGATTGCAGAGAGCTAACATGAATGGGCAAGACTGCTTGGCCTCTCTAGGTCTGAGCAGAAAAGGGTGATTACAGGTTTGGAAGAAAGTAAAGAAAGTTTCGGGGTAGAGACCAAACCTTCTTAGTATGGGCCTGGGACAGTTGTACTCATAGTACTAGAACCTACACTCAGAGTCACAAAGAGATAGTGAAGAAAGACCTTCCCAGCGTATACATGAGGGCCACAGATCCGAAGGCATCCTGGAAAAGTAGAGAGGGATTGGAGGGTTGAGGAATGAAGAGGCCAGAAAACTGCTTCCGAGCAGGGCTATGAGGTTAGGGTTGATTGTAATTTTAGACAGTTGCAGAGGAATGTTTAAGGGGAAGGGAAGTTATGCAGCAAGTATTGCTAAGCACTGCTTTGTGCCCTAGTGCCAAAGACTCATAATTAGAAAGACAGGAACAGATTGGTACTGTCACAGAACTGTCTTCCTGGAGAATAGAGCGCCTGACTGAAGGTGCTTTGAGGTAAGGTAAGTCCAGATGATTAGGTACTGGGTCACAGCAAGAACATTATTAGGAGAGGATGATTTATTTGTACTCCTACCTCTGCTGGATCCTATCAAACCCAAACTAAATGCTCAGGACATTCAATAGCAGGGAGGTAAGATAGATCAAGCAACAAACAGTTGGAGGAATGAGTTTCATCTTGGGTGACTGATGTGTGAGGGATGTGGTCAAGATTCCCACTCACCATGGGCTGATGACTGTTCTTTTGGCAGTTCCGGGTGCTCTTTGCCAACATAGCAGCTCTGTTCTGGTATGCCTACCTGGCCTCTCTGGGGAAGTGATGTCAGATACACCGTGGATGAGGTCTGGGGAAATCCACCCACAGCAGGAGAGATCAGAATCCATCATTCAGGACATCATCTGACTAAATTTTGTGATTCAAAGATGCCTTAAAATTACAGAGGGAGGAAATGTATGTGTTAGTATCTGAATCTTGTGTTTAGAGAGATGGCACCAGACTGAGACAGTAGGTAATCTTATTTGTCACTGTAAGCAAGGTAAAATTCAATAAACAGTAATGCAGCTGTTTCCATGATGGTTGTGATTTCTCTGAAGAGTTGCTGATGCTTGGAGAGAAATTCATACCCAGATCTCCTTAAATTCTTTTATGTTATGCCAGAGTACATACAACACTTAACATTTAAGTGTACAGTTCTGTAGCACTCAGTACAATCATGGTGCTATGTATCTATCGCCAGCATCCATTTCTAAATATTTTTCATCTTAAATAGAACTGTTCCTATTAAACCCCAGCTCCTCATTCTTCCTATTCTTTCTAGCTCGATAACCACCATTCCCTATAAAGTCTTGATCATGAGTCTGCATACCTTATAGGATCTGCTGGGCACTATTCTTAGGACGGGCTTGTTCATCTAGCATAATAACTGCACATTGGTTAATCTTGATTATCAGGTTGATGGGATCTAGGATCACCATGGAAATATACCTCTAGGTATGTCTGTGAGGATGTTTCCCAAAACGGTTTCTAACCACTGGGGCTGGAGAGCCAGTGGTTAAGAGTACTGGCTGCTCTTGCAGAGGACGTAGGTTTGATTCTCAGCATCCACATGACAGCTCATGACCATCTGCAACTCCAGTTCTAGGGAATCTGATGCCTTTTTCTGGATACACATGCAGGCAAAACAACCATACACATAAAGATAGGTAGATAGATAGATAGATAGATAGATAGATAGATAGATAAAAAAGTTTATCTGAGGAGGGAAGCTCCACCCTAAATGTGAGCACTGCCATTTCCATGGACTGGGGTCCCAGACTGAATGAAAGGGAGAAAATGAACTGAGCACCAGCATTCATCTCCTTCTGCTTCGTGTTTCCAGCTGTCTCATGCTCTTGCTGCCATACCTGTAAGCTGAAATGAATCCTTCTTCTGTTGAGTTACTTGTTGGGTATTTGGTGACAGCAATGAGGGAAGTAATTAATTGCATTTTGCCATGGTTGAATGTCCTCTGCAAAATTTGTGTTGAAACCCAATCTTCGTTTGTAGTATTGAGAAGTTCTTTATGGAAGTGATTAAATCCAACAAAGAACAGATTAATACCCTTGTAAAAGAAGCTTCACAGAATTTTCCTCTTGATCTCTGGCTATGTGAGGACAGCCTTCCTCTTGCAGGCACGTATGAACACCATTTCAGAAACAGTGCTCCATCTTGGACTTTTCAACCTCCGAAGGAGATGTGAATTTCTGTTGTATGTATTATATAGTCTATGGCATTTCTGTTGTATGTATTATTATGGCATTTTGTTACATTCAGGATTCATCCATGTCATAATTCAACATGTCAGAATTCCCTTCCTTTTGGAGGCTAAACATTCCAAAGTGTATGCATACCACATTCTGTTTACTCCTCGTCAGAGAGTCTCTGTGTTGTTTCTGATCCTAGCACTTGGGAGGCAGAGGCAAGTGGATCTATGTGATTTTGAGACCAGTGAGTTCCAGGACAGCCAGAGCCGCAACACAGACAAAACCTGTCTTGAAAAGCAAAAAACAAAAAAACAAAAAACAAAAAAAAAAAAGAAAAGAAAAAGAAAAGAGTTGTGACTCCGATGCTGATTTGAGCATGGGTGCATAGACATTGTTCCTACACTGGCCCGCAGATCTGGACATTGACAAAAGTAACTGATGCTCCCATGAGCGATACCAGTAATACAATTCACAACCTTAACTTGACACTTCCTAGTCCATTCCACCCTGCGTGGCTGTGATGGAGAATTAGGGATCTGGGTCCCATACACAGTTCTAGAGATGAACAGCTGCAGTGCTGATGGGTGTGGTCCAGCTCCTGGGAACACTGAGGTAGGAGGATAGCTGGAGCTCATAGAGTTCAGGCCCAGCCTGGGAAACCCAAGAACTCTTAGAGGCCAGAAGAGTGTGTTAGATTACCTGGAACTGGAGTCACAGAGAGTTTTGAGCTGCATTGTGAGTGCTGGGAATTAAACTTGAGTCCTCTGGAAGAGCACCTCCCACCTTTCTTTTGAGACAGAGTCTTATATATTCCAGGCTGGGCTTGAACTCTAAGGATGACCTTGAATTTATAAGTCTACTTCCAACTCTAAATTGTTGAGATTACAGGTGTGCTCCATTACACCTGGTTTATGCAATACTGAGGGTGAATCTTGGAGCTTTGTATAGGATAAACAAATACCTACCAATTGAGCTGTTACCCTGTCCACCAATATTTATATTTGTACAATATATTTAAATCCATAAAATTTTTGAAACTGTACTGTTACATGGTACCACAAATTCAGCATGCACCTCCCTCTTTATTATGCCATTGCCTCCCCGCTTTTTGCAGTGATGTGTAATTGAAGGAGTGCAGTAACAGAAGCAGTTTCTTGAAAAAACAGATTTATTGCTTCAAAAATTTAATGATCAGACTGGAAAGATAGCTCAGTGGTTAAGAACAGTGGCTGTTCTTCTAGAGGTCCTGAGTTCAGTTCCCAGCCACCACATGGTGGCTCGCAACCATCTGTTATGAGATCTTTTGCCATCTTCTAGACTGCAGGCATACATGAAAACAGAACCCTGTATACAAAATAAATTTAATGCTCAAAATAGCCACATAAGCTAGGCTTGGTGGCACATGCCTTTAACCCTTTAATATCCCTTTAACACCTGGGGTAAAAGGCAGGTGGATCTCTTGTCAGTTTGAAGCCAGTTTGGGTTACATAGCAAGCTCCAAGCCAGTCAAGGGTACATAGAATGGTGAGGCCTATCTGAGAAGGAAATAACAACAACCAAAACCAGAAAAGGATACCCAATCACAGAAGAGCAGTCTGTTGGGAGTCCTAGAACACAGATCAGAGGGACCTACCTCCCCATGGGACACTGAGGCAGTAGGTAAGCACTTTAAATAAAAACTATACTATAAACGTTAGTTAGTTCCATATTGAAATTTTGTTAAGCCTTTATTGTACATACCCTATAGATACTTTCTATGAAAGATTAAAACATTTTACAGGTCCTGCTCTGGTGTGCGTGGCAGAGGTCATTCCAGGAAAGCAGCCTCTTATGGGCAACTAGTCACACTGCCTTCATGGCAGCCAGCTGTTTTGACTCTGGGACCTGTGCAGACACCTCTGCAGCTGCAGTGGACCACCACAACCTTAGCTATAGACTTGCTCCCATCATGACCATTCTAGACAGCACCTACTGATGCTGGAAAGTAGTACTGTGAGCAAGATGGGCGTTGTGAACTCTGATGACCTTGCAATGATTTCATCCAGGCCAGAGGGAGAACTCTTCCTTGGTGGCTGTACAGAAAGCCTCTGATTATTGTGAACATTGGTGAAGGACTACCAGGACAACTGTCACACCCCTTTTCTCTCTATAAATAAGTGGGCTGATACTCATTTTCCAGCCAGTGGAAATGCAATGTGGTATTAGCCATTGCCAAAGGCCAAGGATCCTGAGACTGTCTGAGGTTTGAGGTTTGTTCAGGAGCAGTAATATTACCAAATGCCTGCTGCTGCTCACTGCTGGTCAAAGCTGAAAATTATAATAGCTGCAAAGTGCTAGGCCTGCTGCTGGTTAAAGCCCAAGGTAGTAAGTCTCTGGGCCTGCTAGTCTGGTCCCTTGGCCTCAGGCTCAATACGGCTAAGAGCTGCCAGCCCTGAAAGGGCAGTTGGACTACTTTCTTACTCAGAAGGCCCTGGTCCGGTCTAGGGCTAGGATTAGGGCAGTAAAACTTGGAGGCAGAATGAAAGGTGCCAGGGCCTAGCTGTAGGGAATGGAGAGCTGATAGTTTAATGCAGGTTTATAATTGCAGGTAAATGGAACGAATTCTGGAGGTGAAAGTTGATCGTTGAAGAACAGTATGCATACACTTAAGGATTATAAAAGAAAACAACAACTCTAGATCTACAGCAAGAGCAAAACCTGAGGATTTTCAGTTCACCTAAACCCAATACCAGATTTTGATCCCCTGGGGACTTACCCACCAAAGGAAGGGGACCCATGCTTGCCACATAGAGGCTACCGGTAGGTGGCGCCCGAGTCCGCCTTTCCTGCACTATGAGGGTAGAAGGGCGGAACTTCCTCCAGCCGGAAGCAGGCACATGCGGAAGTGTGTCCCTGGCATACTGCCGTCTGGCCGCGCGGTTTGAGGCATGGCTTTCCGGCAGGCGCTTCAGCTAGCGGCCTGCGGTCTGGCGGGTGGGTCGGCCGCTGTCCTCTTCTCCGCGGTAGCGGTGGGCAAGCCGCGCGGCGGCGGGGATGCAGACGCGCGCGCGACCGAGCCTCCGACCTGGACAGGAGCCTCGCGTCCGGGGCCCGGCGTCTGGGATTCCAACTGGGACAGGTGCAGGGACGGGAGGGTGGAGCTCGGGCCTGGTTCCTCACCCTTCACAGTAGGGCAGATGTCGGTGCACTTGAGGGGTGTGTATGAGTGGGTCTAGAGTTGCTACGAACTGGGACGGCTGGTTCTGAGAGTCCCAGTACCAGGACGACGCGTCCTCCAAAGGGTCTCAGTGCCTGGACTATCCGTCCCTGCGAGGGTACCTATACCCGGCCGGATAAGTTCGTCGGGAAATCCTTGTTCAGAGACAGTACACCCGAAGGTCCGTGTCCAAGGACTTATCTTCTAAAGGATTAGTGTGTGTGTGTGTGTGTATAGTCAGTCAGTCAGTCAGTGTTTTGATATATAGCCCAGCTTGTCCTCACAGATTCTCCCGAAGCCTGCGGAAAATTAGGTTTTCAAGCATGCTGTTTACAGAGAATCTGTGCTTAGAATTAAGTAGAACTAAAAGTTAGGTTACCCATGGATGCCTGATATATAGTGTCACATGCCTTTAATCCCAGCACTGGGAGTCAGAGGCAAGCAGATCTCTGAATTCTAGGACAGCATGAAATATGTAGAGAGAACCTATCTAAAAATACAAAAGAAAACAAACAAACAAAAAAACCCAAGAATTAGGTTGCCTTATTTAAATTTGTTTCATATAGCAAGGGTTGCATAGAGAAACCCTGTCTTGAAAAATAACAACAAACAAAAAGTTTGCTTCGTATT